CCATTTTAGCTCAGGCAAGTGTGAGAGATCTCTGTTCCTGGAAACCCAAGGAGCCTTGGCTAAGTCTGCGGGCCGGCAGAGAGAGATTAGCCAGAGATTCGGGTTGCACAGAAAGGGTATGCCTTTTCACGCCCACCCTGCTAGTCCCATCACACTCAACCAGCCCATCTAAATCAGACATGCACACAGATAATTTTTACTGATGATAATACTAAATGCAGCAGATTCACACTTATCCCTAAAATAATGTGTTCTCCTAGTCACTTCCTGATAAACCTTCTTCTGTCATAGGGAAGTGGATGGATGGCATTATAGATGCCACCCAGAGCAAAACAGGATTGGCACTGGTCTTGCCAATTCCCCTGACAGTCAGTCCCATTGCTGGGGCATTTGACACTTGTCTGCAGCTTTGGCCCTGCCCGAGGTTCACATGCAAATCCTCTGTCTAGATGGAAGGCTTTAAGAAGCCCTGTCATGGCCGGGCATGGTGGCTCATGCCTGTAATCCCAGCACTTTGGGAGGTTGAGGCAGGTGGATCACAAGGTCAGGAGTTCGAGACCAGCCTGGCCAGCATGGTGAAACCCCGTCGCTACTAAAAAAAATTAGCTGGAGCCAGGCATGGTGGCTCATACCTGTAATCACAGCACTTTGGGAGGCTGAGGTGGGTGGATCATCTGAGGTCGGGAGTTCGAGACCAGCCTGACCAACAAGGATAAACCCTGTCTCTACCTAAAATACAAAATTGGTCAGACGTCGGGGCACATGCCTGTAATCCCAGATACTCGGGAGGCTGAGGCAGGAGAATCGCTTGAATCCAGGAGTTGGAGGTTGCAGTCAGCCGAGATCACACCATTGCACTCCAGCCTGGGCAACAGAGCAAGACTCTGCCTTGAGAAAAAAAAAAAAAAAAAAAAAAAAAAAAAGAAGAAGCCCTGTCTCAGTAGTTAAGGAGACACAGTTAGTTTACTCTCTGACTTGTCCTGCATTGATCAGACCCCCTGGTTCTGGCTTCTGGGATTCTGCCTTCATCCTGGAATTGAGTCTCAGTTCTCATCTCAGTTCTCATTCCCTGTTATAGGATCTGATGCTTTGATTCCGCAAGCTTCAGCCCCTGCCTCCATAACCCATGCAGCTCCTTGGTCCCTTCAAAATCAGAACTCTAATTTTCTTACACCTGTTCTTTCTAATAAGCTGAGACCTTTCTCCCTGCCCCTTGTCCTGCCTGACACACATTGGCAGTCTGAGTCACTCACACTGTTCCTCCCAGCATCTCCCCACCACTCTGCAACCTCCACTTTCCCCACGCCAGTAATCACATTTACTTACTTATGGATACCTACTTGTGTCACCTGCTAGACCTTTCTAACCTTGATGCTCTCTAAAGTACCATATCACCTGCTATTACTCTGAGGGTCCATATGGTCCCAAAGCTCTGCCTGCCTAGCAGACCGCCTCCCACTGACTTTACCCGGACACCCTAGTCACTTGCAGCAGAGTGACAAAGAGGCAGTGTGGCATGATGGAACGAGGATGACAGGAGTATGAACATCTGGGCAGACCTAGATTCAAATCCTTGCTCCTCCACTTGGACAAGTTTCGTTTTTTTGAGATGGAGTCTCACTCTGTCACCCAGGCTAGAGTGCAGTGGCATGATCTCCGCTCAATGCAACCTCTGCCTTGCCTCCTGGGTTCAAGTGAGTCTCCTGCCTCAGCCTCCCGAGTAGCTGGGATTACAGGAATGTGCCACCGCTCCCGGCTAAGTTTTGTATTTTTAGTAGAGATGGGGTTTCACCATGTTGGTCAGGCTGGTCTTAAACTCCTGACCTCATCATCTGCCCACCTCTGCCTCCCGATGTGTTGGGATTACAGGCGTGAGCCACTGTGCCCAGCCAGATGAGTTTCATAATTTCTCTAGAATCCAAAGGGATTGTTGAAAAGATCATATAAGCCGGGCGCGGTGGCTCAAGCCTGTAATCCCAGCACTTTGGGAGGCCGAGGCGGGTGGATCACAAGGTCAAGAGATCGAGACCATCCTGGTCAACATGGTGAAACCCCGTCTCTACTAAAACTACAAAAAATTAGCTGGGCATGGTGGCGCGTGCCTGTAGTCCCAGCTACTCAGGAGGCTGAGGCAGGAGAATTGCCTGAACCCAGGAGGCGGAGGTTGCGGTGAGCCGAGATCGTGCCATTGCACTCCAGCCTGGGTAACAAGAGCGAAACTCCGTCTCAAAAAAAAAAAAAAAAAAGAAAAGATCATATAAGATAATGTACCTGGCAAAATTTAGCAGGTATTTAATAAAATACAACTGTCTTTCTTTCCTGCATGTAGATTTTTTTATTGCATTTTAGCTTTGGGGGTACATGTGAAGAACATGCAAGATTATTGCAAAGGTATACACATGGCAGTGTGATTTGCTGCCTTCCTCCCCATCACCTACATCTGGCATTTCTCCCCATGCTATCTCTCCCCAACTCCCACTGCATGTAGATTTTTTAACAGCTTTATTGAGATAGAATTTATATACCATACAGTTCACCAATTAAAGTATACAATTCAGTGGTTTTTAGTATATTCATTGGATTTATATTTCTGTTTTTGTTTTGTTTTGTTTGTAGAAAGTGATTTTATATAAAGAGAGAGAGAGAGAAACAAGAGAAGGAGAGAGAAAGAAACAGCTAGCTCTCACACTGAGTAAGAGAATCTGGAAAGATGGAATTCAGGAGAGAAAAGCAGCTTCCACACTGAGTGGAAGGGAATAGAGAGAGAGATGGAATTTAGGAGGGGAAGACAGGCTTCCACGAGAGAGTGTGGAATGGGACTCCAAAGGAGAAATCCAGGAGAGAGAAAGATGGCTTCCATGAAGGGAGTGTTCGTGGAAGGGGACCCAAACATGGAGTCCCATATTTAGATTTCTTAAAATGCAATTATAGCATAAGAGGTATGAGGTCTAATAGTTTTAAAGGACAGGATTTTAGTCAGGTGTAAGTTTATGTAAATCAACAGTGTGATACCACTGCACTGACAAAAAAACCTTTGTGATATTGGGCTGTACTGATACACTTATGATAATCTGAACAGGACAAGTACTGTTATTCTCAGCTGGCAGTGTGTTCAGTCATTGGGCCTATTTTAAGAGAGAAATGGGCAAATTGGAGGATGACTAGAGAAATGTGATAAGGGTGATGGGAAACTGTTTATAGGAGCCGATGGTACTCATCCTGGAGAAATAAAGCCTTAGAGGAGATGAAATATCATCCTTAATTAGCTCTAGAGTTTATTTTTATTTTTTTAGAGACAGAATCTTGCTCTGTCACCCAGGCTGGAGTGCAGTGTGGTGAGATCATAGCTCACTCATAATCTCAAATTCCTGGATTCAAGTGATTCTCCCTCCTCAGTCTCCTGAGTAGCTCGGACTATAGGCATGTGCCACCATGCCCAGCTAATTTTTTTATTTTTTGGTAGAGATAGGGTCTCCCTGTGTTGCTCAGGCTGGTCTTGAACTCCTGGCCTCAAGTGATCCTCCTGCTCTGACCTCCTAAAGTGCTGGGTTGATAGGTGTGAGCCAATGTGCCCAGCCTAGACTTGTTTGTAAAATGAATGATATGTGTTTCTATGTTCCCTCCCTAGACAGAACTTCAATAGGTGAATTTAAGTTAAAAAACAAACAGATTTTTATACAATACAGGGAACAATAGAGCTCTCTAAAATTGGAGTGGATTGTCCCTAATGTGAAATGAATTTTTTTTTTCTTTTTCTTTTTTTCCAGGACAGATGGTTTCTTACTATGTTGCCCAGCCTGGTCTCAAACTTCTGAGCTCAAATGATCCTCTTTCCTTGGTCTCCCAAAGTGCTAGGATTATAGGTGTGAGCCATCACACCTGGCCTCTAATCTGATTCTATTTTTAATATATTATCATATTATTTACAAGTCAGAAAGCAATGTCCCATAGAGCCCTTACTCTGCGTAATGTGTTATGCCCAGGTAGGTAAAATTAGTAAGATCAATTTTTCTCTATTCAAGGCCAATTTTCCAGTCTGTGGATTAGTCTAACAGATCATTCTTTCTCTCATTTTTAATTTCTGCTCCCTGCTCTTCGATCAGAGGATAGAGAAGAATCCCAAAATGATCATTTTGGGATATTTTATTAGCAGCTCTGATAATAATGGAAATATTCCAAAAAGAAGTCTTAGGCATGACCGATCAGAAGATTGTGCTCATCTCTTCCCAACTGTCTGTAAAGTGACTTCATCTTAGTAGCTTGAAAGTGGTCATAGTAGGAATATTTTCACCATGGAAATTAGCAAACACTGCTGATCAGCACACCTACCCCTTCCTCCCCACATCCAAGCTCACTGACCAGTGCTCTACTGCTTGAGAGTTTATGCTACTCAGTGACTACAGGCCTGGCACTACTAATAATGACAGTAGCCCTTCTAGTAGATTGTTGGATTATGTGTCTCTATAAAAATATATTTAAAGCCAATGCTATTTCACTTTTTTTTTTTTTTTTGGGGTGGAGTTTTGCTCTGTCACCCAGGCTGGAGGGCAGTGGCTTTATCTCAGCTCACTGCAACCTCCTCCTCCCAGGTTCAAGTGATTCTCCTGCCACAGCCTCCTGAGTAGCTATCATTACAGGTGCCTGTCACCACGCCCAGCTAATTTCTGTATTTCTAGTAGAGATCAGGTTGGGGGGTGGGGGAGGTCTCACCATGTTGGTCAGGCTGGTCTCGAACTCCTCACCTCAAATGATCTGCCTGCCTCGGCCTCCCAGAGTGCTGGGATTACAGGCGTGAGCACCGCGCCCAACCGCTATTTCACTTTCATGTGAGGACAACTGGAATTTAAGTGGTTTCATTTAGTTAATGAGTTTCAGATGAGTGAAATATTGGGGGAGATACTTAGGGAAGACTAGATTCACTCGAACCTACCCTATAGACCATATATTCTGTCTTTAGGAAAACCCAAAATAACTATAATCAGTATATCAAAGGGGCCTATTATACATAGCTACTTACGGAATGATTGTGTAACATGACTAGGACATCTCCAAGATGAAGGCCCCCTGGAAACAGAAAGTCCAAGTTCTCTGCTGGCCAGCGCTTGTCCTGTGTAAGTGGCTCCTTGTGCCACCTATTGGATCTTGAAAGAACAATCTCTTAGCTTTTGATTCAGAGACTTCAGTAAGTATTTTTTGCAGATAGAACATATTCATAATCTTTCGTAAGGCAGAACCATTGTAATGACATTGCATTTTACAAGTTGTTATGAGGGAAATACCATCGGTCCAAGATTCCCAAAGCCAACTGATTTCTTTTGCAAATTCTAAGCACCCCCGGAGAACTTACACAGCAGTTTTCAACCCTAGCTGCTCGTGGAATTACCTGGGGAGTTTAAAAAAAATACTGCCACCTGGGTTCCACCCCAAGTAATCTAATTTAATTGACCTCAGCTGCTCCTTTGGTGATTCTAATGTGCAACCAAGTTGGGGTTTTATTGACTTAGAGGGTACCTAGAAGTGGTAGAGAGAATGAGATTTGCTAAAATGAACAAAATATTTTTGCTCATTCCAAATAAACAGGCGAAGAGGGGAAGGGGGTGCTTTCCTGTTTCAATGTGGAGAAAAATCCTTGTTACCCTGGAGTAGTAGGAATCTGGGGTCTGGCTTCCTGGCAAGCACTAGGAATTACAGTCGGCATTTACTGAACACTTACAGTATACTATGTGTCATCTCATTTTTTCTTCATATAACCTCATGAAATAGGTATAAATATTTTCTTTCTTTTTTCTTTTTTTTTTTTTTT